TCCATCAGATTAGCAGGGAATTCAATTCCCTGAATCTTTATGGGACACCCCTTACAAACTTTATTCACCCGGGCACTCTGGCCTAACGGAGTTGTTACTATATCTCATTACTCGTAGCTTCTAAGGGAATCCCCAACTCCTTTACTAACTTACTTGTAATATAACTAATTAGAAACCCGGATCAATCAGTACCAATACCAATTTATCATACAACTGAAAAGTACCTGCTATAATATCAGGGTCATCACGGTCTTCACTTGTCTTTAGGTTGTATACTCGAGCAGTGGATCGAACTTCAGGTTGAGCAGAGAATTCAGACGGGTTCCTTCCTCTGCCTCTTCCTCGGCCTCTTTGTGAAAAAGAACCAGCTCTTCCAGATGGTGCCGGCTCCCCAACCATCAAGGGACAGTCCGGACAAAATGTCCAGCATCCCCGCATCGAAAACAAGTCCCAGCTGCCATACGACACTCCCATAATGGTTTTTCCCGCAGTGCTCACAATGTTTCCTTTGACCCGGAGTAGATCTCCCAGCACCAGATTCTACTGACTGCGTCTGTCTAGGTCTTGCCTGACTTGCTCCCCTAGCAGACGATGCAAACTGATTCTGATCTAGTTTGTGATCGAAATCCCGAGTCTTCCCCTTTTTGTTGGTGTTGAACCAGAATAAGTAGTCGTCTCTTTGATGTCTGAACCCTTGAGTCCCCAAATCTTTCATTCTGAGCCCTTTCAAGAGCTTTTGCACGATTGATCACCTCCTGGAACGAGGACAAGTTTAATACTATCAACATTTCCTTAAGCCTAGGGCGCAAGCCCTCCACGAACCATTCGCAAGCATCTTTCTCAGTAGGCACAAGCTCGGCTGCAAACCTGATCAGCTTATTAAACTCACATTCGTACTCATACACAGAGCGGTCATCTGCTTCAAAACTCATAAATTCCGCTTCATTTGGCGGATAAAATGATCCCCAATGTACTTGCTTTTAAATTCTTCTAAAAACAAAGACCAAGTCAACTGGTCGGTTGACATCCTCATGGTGACATTCGTCCACCATATCCTCGCTGACCCTTAGTAAAGACACAGCTCCATCTAATTTCTCCACTTCGGAACAGTGGAGACCATCTAATGATTTTCAAATCATTCAACCAAAGATCCGCTGACACCGGACCTTCATCAGCTTCTCCCTTAAACTCGGGAGCTCCTAAACTTCTCAATTCTTTGCTACATAATTCGTGGAGTTAGTGGAGCAGGAGGTTGAAGACGCGTCAGAATAGCGTCTAACGTTCTGAAGAACGTATCTTGATCTTGCACAGGCACTCCTTGAGATGCCTGTTCTTCACCTTGCCTGGCCAGGGCAGGTGAATTACTGCTTTCAGCATGTCTATCTTCTCCCGCTTCACTTCGGGAGCTATTATGTCCGGACATCTAATAAGAATATACACATGTTCTATTAGCAAAACAGCATACTCATACCATACCAGATCAGAAGTTATCACCATTGTGGCATGTATTCCATTAAAGACTCCATAGACTCTGGTTTATGCCTAGAATCGGCTAAACCATAGCTCTGATACCATTAAATGTAACACCCCAACCCATACCCGACCCGGATATGAGTCAGAGATATACATTGACTTTAAAACAACTCTTAATAATAATAGTAAAATATTGGGACTTGTATAAGAAAATACAATAATATACATACTGTATATAAGTTTACAAAAATATTCAGAGCATACACAACTAACTCTTTTAATTATGCCAACTGCTATTTACATAATAAATAACCTACTGATAAGTTGCTTCTGATGAGATGGTTGCAGGAGTAATACTGTCAAGCTGCTTAACTGTCTCTTCTATTTTCCTCGGATCCTACGTGTGAAACACTCACACGCTAAGTCATCGACTAGTGAGGCAACAATAATAAGGCAATGTATGTAATGAATATGTCAGGATCATATGAGATGAGATGCAAACATGTAACTAATCAATGTAGTATACTTTAACAATATCCATACATGTAAGCGTATGACTGTAAATTCCTTATTCAGTATTAATAGTTTATTGGCCATGATAGCATATTGAGAACCTAAGGTATTTGAGTAATGTGAGGTTGTGCACTATGCTGTCACCACAGCTCGTATAAATGACCGAAGTGCCCGTAGAAGTGCACCGAAGTGCCCGTAGAATTGCACGAAGTGCCCGTAGAATTTTGTCCATAAGGACCACGTAGAATCCTTTAAGAATCATACATATACTATGGATCAAGTATGTGTCTTTCAAGACTTCACACAGGTTCCAAAGGATATACATATGTCCTAAAGAACGAGTATACCCTCTACCCTTGGCATGCCAACTATACCTATAGTTCTCATCTACATAACATGGGCTTATACATTTCCCGTAGTTCATATCGCGTAGACATAGTATTTCCATACCTTTAACACATAGGCATATCATTACATACTTTTATCACATAGGGCATAGAACTTTCTGCATATTCATGTCATGTAATACATATAAGATGATTCATGTCATGTAATACATTTAATACAAATTCATGTCATGTATCATAATATGGAATGTAATCATGTGTCAAAATATGGAATCTAGACTTATCACAAGTCTAGAAGAATATACTATATTCATGCTATGCATATGCACTCACCTATACTTCTTGCCTTTCCTCGATCGATCCTACTTGTAGATTGTTCCCGAACTCGAGTAGGCTCGGTATCTACATAAACATATTTTTAAGATGATCATCAGACGTCTGTGTCTTGAAATTAAGCTTTAATAGCTTACTAATTAAAAGAATTAATAGCTTAGTCTTGCTTTCTTTTCTTTCTTCTTTTTCTCATGGGGGAATCGGTTCCCCCCCTGGGGTATCGATTCCCCTCAAGCAATGGAATTCATACGATGAGGGGGTATCGGTTCCCCCCCTGGGGGGGTACGATTCCCCTCTAGCATTTGGAATCATATTCGTTGAAGGGGTATCGGTTCCCCTTGAATGGGTACCGATTCCCCTAACCCAGAAATCCTATTTTTAGCCCGAAAATCATCTAATTTCAACTCAAACATACATATTTCAATCCCTTTACTACTCTTAGCTCATACACTTACTTAAACTAATTATTATCCATTAAATACCTCTAAAACTTAGAAATCTAATTCTCCATGTAGCATTAAGAATCCAACTCAAATTCCAATATGTTCTAATTTGAATTCTAACCACTCATACTTCTAATAGCTTATTGACAAGTCAAAATTTGATTCAAACATCAAAACCTCATCCATATCAAAATCTCATCTAAAAACTCATTTTCCAAATCTATCTCTAAAACACTAATCTTGTTGTTTTAATGTCATATAAGCTTTCCTTTAGCTTATATAACATCCAAGCTTTCATTTCCAATCATAAAACATCAAAGAAACTATCAAGTTCAGATTCTTACCTTAAATGCAAGCCCAACGTTGAGAGAAGGAAGAGAAGAAAATGAGGAAGAAGGGAGAAGAAATGGGAGGTTCTGGAATACACGTGTTCTCATATACCCCATAGCATTTTATTTAATTAAAAATTCCCCTTGCAAATGACCATTTGGTCCTCACCTTAATCTCATATTTACCAACCTTTATTTTAAAACTATAAAATTGTTCTACTTTAATCACCAAATGTTGAAACTTTGCAAATTAATCATTAACCCGGCATGGAGGATGTTACAAGTAGTGACGCCAAATCTTAAGAGCGAACACTACTGCAGCCAACTCCAGATCGTGTGTTGGATAGTTTTTCTCATGTGGTTTCAATTGTCTAGACGCAAAAGCCACTACCTTACACTCTTGCATCAGCATAAATCCCAAGCCATTATGGGACGCGTCACTAAAAACCACGTAGTTCTTGCCAGACTCAGATTGAACCAATATTGTAGCTTCTGTCAAAATCTTCTTCAACGTTTCAAAACTTTCTTGACATTCAGAAGTCCAAGCAAATGCCACATCTTTCATCATCAACTTAGTTAAAGGTCATTGAAAAGTTCTTAACGAACCTTCGATAATAACATGTAAGTCCCAGAAAGCTTCGAACTTCAGATACATTCTTTGGAACCTCCCATTCTAGAATGGCTTTTATCTTCTGAGGATCAACCCGAATTTGTTCTGCAGAAATCACATGTCCAAGGAATGTCACTTCATTCAACTATAACTCACATTTTGATAATTTGGCATATAACTTCTTATCTCTTAGAATCTGCAAAACTATCCTCAGGTGTGCACTATGTTCTTCATTCATTTTTGAATATACCAATATATCATCGATGAAAACAACTACGAATTGGTCCAGATAAGGTTGAAATATTCTATTTATTAGGTCCTTAAAGGCAGCCGGTGCATTCATAACTCCAAATGGCATAACAATGAACTCATAGTGATCATACCTCAATCTAAACGCCATCTTTAGGATATCTTTCTCCTGAATTTTCAACTGATGATATCCAGATCGCAAATACATTTTAGAGAAAACTGAAGCTCATTTCAACTGATTAAACAAATCGTCAATTCTAGGGAGAGGATTCTTATTCTTGATAGTCACCTTATTAAGCTGCCTATAATCGATGCAGAGACGCATTAAACCATCTTTCTTCTTGACAAACAACACTGGAGCTCCCCATGGCGATACAATTGGTCTTATAAATCCTTTATCCAGTAATTCTTGTAACTAAATCTTTAACTCCTGCAATTCTTTTGGAGTAATTCTGTATGGTACCATTGCAATAGGTGTTGTTCCGGGTATTATCTCAATCTGAAATTCCACCTCTCTATCTAGAGATAAACCTGGTAACTCTTCAGGAAAGACATCGGGAAATTCTCTGACTATAGGAATTTCTTCTAACTCTTTCTCATTGGTTCTAGTATCCAGCACATTAGCAATGAAACCTGACATCCTTGTAGTAATAACTTCTTTGCTGACATCACTGATATGACGTTTGCCAATGGATTCCATCTTTCACTGAACACTATAACTTCCAATCCGTCTGAACTGATTAGCGTTACTCTCTTCAATCTACAATCAACATTCGCATGATAGCGATATAACCAGTCCATTCCCAGTATCACTTCGAATTCATCAAAGGGTAATTCCATCATATTAGTAGATAATTCAATTCCCTGGATCTGTATGGGACACCCTTGACACACTCTATTTACCCGAGAATTGTGCCTTAATGGATTTTTCACTATCACATCACTACTAGTAGCTTCTAATTGAATTCTCAATTCTCTAACCAATTTACTACTAATATAAGAATATGTAGACCTCAGATCAATCAATACCATAATGCATTTATCATACAGTAAAAAAGTACTTACAATTATCTCTGGATCATCACGATCTTCATTAGTCTTGATATTATACACTCGAGCAGTGGAACGTATTTCCTATTGAGTAGAAGATTCCGACTAATTTCTTCCTCTACCTCTACCCCGTCCTCTCTGAGACATCGAAGCATATAGCTCTGACTGTGTAGGCTCTCCGGCCCTCAATAGAAAATCTCTCATAAAATGTCTTGTTTCTCCACATCGGAAACAAGCTCCGGATTTTACTCTACATATATCGCTATGGTTTCTTCCACAAATCTTACATTGTCTGACTTGACCCTGCTGTGCTCTTCCATCACCAGACCCTACTGATTGAGTCTGTCTAGCTCTCATCTGATTTGATCCTCTAGTAGAGGATGCCACTGACTCGGATCTCGTTTAAGATTGAAAACCAGAATCCTTGTCTCTCTTAGGTGGTGCAGAACTTGATGAAGCCACAGTTCTTTTGGACGGTTGGGCTCTTTGCTCCCCAAACCTTTCATTCTAAGCTCTCTCCAGAGCATTAGCACGATTAACTACCTCTTGAAATGAGGACAAGTTCAACACGATCAACACCTCCTTTAACCTTGGGCGTAAACCCTCAACAAACCACTCATATGTTTTTTTCTCTGTCGGCACCAACTCAGCCGCAAAACGACTTAACTAGTTGAACTCGAACTCGTATTCATGCACGGTGCGATTCATTTGCTTCAGGTTCACGAATTCTTGCTTCATGTGCTTAAGGAATTCATCTCCTATATACTTGTGCTTAAAATCTTCGAGAAACAAAGACCATTTTACTTGATCACTTGTCATCCTCAAGGTGACATTCGTCCACCAGATTCTCACCTACCCGCGAAGCAAGGAGACCACTCCATCTAATTATTCCACATCAGAATAGTGGAGTCCATCTAACATAATCTTCACATCATTGAGCCAAAGGTCCACAGCAACATGACCTTGCTCGGCTTCACCTTTAAATTCTGGAGCTCCTAATCCCTTTAACTCCTTCGCAACATTCATTCTCTAAGTTGAAGAGGCAGGGGGTTGGAAACGCGTCAAGATGGCGTCAAACATCCTGAAGAATACGTCTTGATCTTGTACATGCACTCCAGAAGGTACCCGTTCTTCACCTTCCCTGGCCAGGGTAGGTGAATTACTTCTCTCAGCTGGCCTATCATCTCATGATTCACTTCGGGAGCTATCGTGTCTGGACATCTAATAAGATATAACCATATAACACTATTAGCATAACAACATACTTGTTACTCTTATCAGATCAGAAGTTCTCACTATTATGTTGGCATGTACACATTTAAAGACACTCTAGACTCCAGTTTATGCCTAGAATCGGGTAAACCATGGCTCTCATACCATTAAATGTAACACCCCTAACCCGTACCCGACCTGGATACGAATCTGAGGTGTCACATTGACTATTCAAAACGTTTACATTTATAGAAATCATGGAAAATTTAAACTTTCATTAATATAAAGTTAACAATTTACATAAATATGTTCAAAACATTACAAAATCGATTAGAGTATACATACTTCACGACTTTGTTTACATGCCATCATATCTATTACATAAAAAAACATATTGTGCAAAATACTTCTGATCTGATCTTCAAGTGGAGGTATGTTGTTCTACGAGTCCTAAGCCTGATCCTCTTGCTTCTAAGTGCCTATGTGTAAAATGCTTACACGCTAAGTCATAGACTTAGTGAGGCATAAAAATATAACAATGCATTTCCTATAAATATGAACATGCAATCTAACTATTCAAATACAATTATACATATCATATCATAATTCAATAATGTCATATATTATTCAGTATAAACAATAATAACAAGATAGCATATAATCATATAAATACTTTTTATATCTTTTCTAGGCCCATGTACGTTACTGAGAACTTAAGGTATGCGAGTATATTGAGGTTGTGCACATATGTTGTCACCACAGCTCGTATAAGGGTCCACTTAGTGGCATGTGAAATCTGTCCCGAAAGACCTCATGTATGTCCCGGAGGACCTATGTAAATGTCCCGAATGACCTATGTAACCCTCGACTCTTAGAATTCCATATAACACCCCTAACCCATATCCTACCCGAATACGAATCTGAGATGTCACATTGACTTTTCAAGACGTTTACTTTTACAAAATCTCATAAAATTTAAAACTTTTATTAAAAAAACAGTGCAATAATTTACATAAATACCATCAAAATGATTACAAAATCGATCAGAGCATATATGATTTAAACTGTAATTACATGCCAACATAATTGTTACAACAAAATGACATACTGTTTTAAATCACTTCTGATCTGATCATCTTCAAATGAGATATTGTCTTCCTAAACTTTAACTCTGTTCTTCCTGCTTCTTGGTACCTTCGTGTGAAACACTCATACGCTAAGTCACAGACTTAGTGAGGCATAATATATTATGTAACAATGAATTCATGAAACATGCACTCCTGTAATTCCATCATGACATTATAATTTGCATATATTTACTAAACTATAACATACATAATTATGAAATGCACAAATGAAACATATCTTCTTATGAGGTGTTTAATTCAGTTTATCTTTTGGATGCCCATGTACATTACTGAGAACATAAGGTACGTGAGTACACTGAGGTTGTGCACATATGTTGTCACCACAACTCGTATAAATTCCCACTAGGGGCATTTAAAACTTGTCCCGAAGGACCACACATATATGTCCCTAAGAACCACATAAATGTCCCAAATGAACACTCCTTAAGGATCATATATATATTCCAAAGGACCAAATATGTGTCCCGAAGAACCGCATATATGTTCCAAAGGATTACATATATATCTCGAAGGACCACATAGAACCCTCGACTCTTGGCATGCCAATTATACCTACAGCTCTCATATTATATAACATGGGCTTAAATATTGATACGTTTCATATTTTCATATCTCTTTTATCACTTCTCATATAACCATCATTCATATTTCACATGTACACATATGATCACTTATATTATCATATATGGCTTGGATTTGTTCTATTATGTTTGCATACATCACATATCATATCATATTAAAGCATGTATAAGTTATGCATGCACTCATTATAATGATAACATATGCATGTACATGAATATGAAATCATGAAATCAATTATAAGAAATAGACTTATTACCAGTCTTATTCCCATAAAACCACATATATACTAACTATGGTATGCACTCACCTTAGCCTCACTTGATTCGAATCGACTCTAAAACTTTATCTTTCTCTCGACCGTTTCTAATTCTTCGATTGTTCCGGAACTTGATTATGCTCGATATCTACATAATCATACATTTATATACATATCAACATTCCAAATATCATGATTTGATCCTTAATTTCTTAAACTAAAAGAAAGGCGTAATTCCATTTTCTATTTGGAGTAGTATCGGTACCCCCTATAGGGTATCGATACTTCCCTAGATGTGGTGTCGATACCAAGCCTGGGTATCGATACCCATTTTGTATTCTGTAATCCTCATTTAAAAAATGGTACCGATACTGATCTTATGGTATCAGTACCCTTGGTATCGATACTACCTTCCCAGGTATCGATACCCTATGACTAACTTTGTTAAATTCAGGCTTATGGTATCGATACTGTTCAACCAGTATCGATACCCCTATACCAAATATCACTCTTTTACTATTGAAGTATCGGTACTGGATGAAGCAGTACCGATACTCATAGCCTAGATTTCACTTTTCAAACCCGAAAATTAACCCATATCAGCTTAAATCCTTCATGTCTTATTCCTTTTTATACTCTTAACTTAAGTACACATACTCAAACCAATTTATATTCATCTAACACATTTTTATCTTCAAAATCTCCTACTATATCTTGAATTTAAGAATCCTACCAAATTTCCATGTTCTAATTTCAATTCTAACACTTCATTCTTCTTAATTAAGTTGATGATAAGTCAATTCTAGTTTCAAAATTTATTTACTAACTCTCTTCCAAGATTTCACTTATCCCCGTCTTATCTTTAATCCTTCCTAACTCACTCATCTTTTGATTTTAGACAACTTAAGCTTTCCTTAAGCTTAAGTATTGCCCAAAGAACATAAACCAAACTTAAATTCAATAAATAACTAGTTAATAAGAAACTCACCTTAACAAGCTTGGGGTTCACGGCTGAAAGAAGGAATAAGGATGAAGAGAACTCTGGAAAATCTTTCTTTTTCTTTTGCTACATATCTCCACGTGTATATATATCTCTTCCGCATCCTATTTTTAATCCAATAATTAATCAAATGACTATTTTGCCCTTCCATTCATCCTTCTTTGTTATATAGTCCTACACAAAAAAAATTTCATATAAGTCCTTGAACTTTTCAATTTATCTACTTAAGTCACTAAATCCTGAGATTTTACAATTTGGTCACTAACCCGATTTTTAGGATGTTACATGCCAACTATACCTATAGCTCTCATATCACATAACATGGGCATTATCATTATGTTTCATACATTCATATAATCATTACTTCACCACATACTCATGTACTCATGTCATTTCTCTTATAATCACATATGTATTCTCTTCTGTCATATGTACATATAACCATCAATCTCATATCATATAACATATGTTATTTGAGTATGCTCACATGAATCATATAGCATATATCAAAT